GCTCTTCCGTAGGAATATTTTGGTGGACGAAATTTCGTGGACCTGGTAGTGGAAACTCTTATCCTCGAAATTTAATCGAATTACCGATATCGTGTCCCGGTTTACGCTTTCCTACGCACAGGCCATGCTCGGCGAAAATGGCGCCAAATTTTCGCGACAGAAGCTTTCGCGGAAAATGCAAACGAAATGCCGAATTTCGATTAGAGTCTAGACTCTGTGCTGTCGTATCAATCGTATAAATGTCCAGAAAGACTATACATTGTCTATACATTGCCGCGCAAAATTCAAATATCGAGGTGCTGACATCGAGTGGCCACCACCAAGGTCAGGTTTAAATTTTGGCGCGAAAATGCCGTTGGACGAAGAGAATATAGTACACGCGTATAATATACGTAACACGAGTGTATAATAATAGCAGCATTTCGAGGAAATCTCATTTATAACAATTTCCACTACCTGTCCAGCCAATTTTGCCCGCAACTGTACCTATACAACGCGATAGACTAACGTTCGTAGAAGCGAATTCACTTGTTGCGTTGCATGCTAAATACTCGAGTCTTTGATTCGCGATCGATCGAATCGGATCGTTATTTCCTGTAACTTTGATCGGGTGCGCGTATCCCGTACGAGGCATCGACGAACACGTCGGATTCGCGATGCCTGACGATATTCGTGGTCGAGGATTTATCGTTGCTAGTCGATTACTTAGAATAAGAGACACACTGAGTTTCACGATTGTAAGTCGAGGTTTGCATCAGTATTTTTCTTCGCAGGTGACGGACACGAGGCTCACACCGAGGACCGTGTCGAGAATCCTGGCACAGGAGGGTGGCGGATCGCAAGGAGGCAACGAGAGTCCACCGCCACCGCCTCCACCTCGATCGTATCACCCACCACCACCGATGCTGCCAGTGTCCCTGCCAACCAGCGTAGCGATACCAAACCCGAGTCTTCACGAAAGTCAAGTGTTCTCGCCGTACTCGCCGTTCTTCACCCCTCACGCGAGTCACAAAGGCCAGGTACCACCACCGGGGCCGCATCACCTGCCCGCGAGTCCTCCTGGTGCAGGTGTCGACGTCAGGGACTCGCCTCCACTGCCCCATCCGCCATCTATATTGCACCCTGCCTTATTGGCGGCTGCTCAGCACGGCAGTTCAGATTACGGACATCTCAGGATGGACAGCAACGACCGGCCCAACGACTGCAACTCCGACGACATCAGCTATGACGGGATTCAGCCTACAATATCCTTTTCTAATACACCGTGCAGACGGGGACGAAAGAACGAACGGAAGAAAGGCTTCGTCCTACCACTTGGAGAACGTCCAGAACGATCATGCTCCCAACACCAGCCGGGTCACCCCGGTTTGCGTAATAGTTAACCAACTGTCAAAGTTTCCGCTGGCAAACCGGTATCTCTCTGTTTGCCCGCGCGCAACAACAACACGCGCGGAATCTCTGTCGACTTGGAAGCGCTGGTAATATCGCGAAGGGACAGAGTCTGAACGTTCTCCAAAGAAAGTACGATGGAACTTTGGATATTAAATCGGGAAGAGCGAAGAGCGAGGTTTAAAGAGCTGGATAAAGAGACGAGTGAAAAACCAGCGTCGAATAGTGGTAGAAAGGCGAAAGAGTCGATGACGATGCTCAGGAATCTGTTTTTTCTTCTTCCTCTTCTTCTTCTTCTTCTTCTTCTTCTTCTCCTCTTCTTCTTCGACGTGGATGTCGTGGAGGTCTTTTTGCACCCGTAGGAGGGAACGCGAGAGTGCTTGGGAAACTTTGGAAAACAACGGGGGAGTTGTAGGAGAGAAAAAGCCAGTCCCGCCAACAAGGCGAAGGAAGTCGGCTGGAGCGTAGCAGGAGGAAGAGTAGGCGGCAACGGGCGGCTAGGGGGCCAAGCTCGGACGAATGTTAGATTAGTTTGCCACGGAGTTAGGCTAATGTTGGCTGCACCTACGAGTAGAGTTTGTCCGGCAACAACGCGCGAGGTCGAAAGTTCTTTGCCTACTCGGCCCACCCCTCGGCCCCGAGTCTCACCCAACTTCGCAAGCCAATAATCTGTCCCGCAATTTCGGAATTTAACCGCGGAAACGCGCACGGCCGAGAGAGAGAAAGAGAGAGAGAGAAAGGGAGAGGAGGCGGTCCGCGAACTTCCCCTGGCTAGCGTCTCCTCGACTTATCGTAGATAAGCCACTTCTACTACTTCTCCACTGCCGTATGAGAGAATTCGCCCTGTAGGAACCGAGTTGCTACAGGGTCAACTTGCCCGCCAACTATATTCCTTACCCCGGACCATCCATATCGGCTACCCCGTTAAACGATAGCTAGCCGGCCGGGCTATGTTCCTCGCGCACCCCTTTCTTCTCTTTCTACTCCGATCGGCCACCGTTCTTCACCGATCCTCGTCTCTTTCTCCCTTTCACGGCACTTCCCCACGCGTTTCTCTCATCCATCGATCATCGACGCGCGTAATGTCACGCGCTCGACGAAGGATGAGAGAGGAACACTTGAACGCGTTCCCCCTGCGATGGGCGAGAGAGTCGGCCGCGCGAAACGCAACCGGAGATGCACGCATCACGGCGGGGTGGCATCGGTGACCTCGTAGTACGCTTTGACTTCGTAAAAATAGCCGGCGAACGGACGAAGTTAAGACACACGTATCCTTCTCTACGATCGTCTGAAAGCGTGATCAACAGGCGCGAAAAGTTCAGCAGCTCGATTATCACGCATGACCCGGCCGGGTGGCTCTCGCGGCGCCCGCCATCGGCTCTCACGCTTACCAAAAGCACTCGCAAATATATCGGGGGCCCTCTCGACGTCCAGGAAAAAAAAAAGACGCGTGTCGCGCGGGGGCGTGCGGTGAACGCGTCGGCAGCGATGCAGCGTCGCTGGGAACTGCATCGGCGTGTGTTGGTCCGGGTCGTTCGATCGGCAGCGCGGCGTTCTTTGCCGCCTTTTTAGTCGGCCTTTGATGTAAAATCAATGGCGCATTTTTTCACTCCCTCCTCTTGGGGTAGGTCGAGCGCATGACCGCGGCGCAACCTGCTGTTCACCACTCACCTCTGGATTCACCCTTGTCTGTCGCTGTTCCTACCGGCCTTCGACGTATCCAAATATGCTTTTCACGCTGCTCGACTTTCCTTCCCGGCCCTGCGTTCACGGCCTCCGAGTTGGTCCACGTTGCTCAACGCCGTGGAGGGTGGTCTGCGCGACCTTTTGGGGGGGGGGGGGGTTTGTGACGGGACCGCACGGGGTGGCGTAGAGATCGTTGGCTAACCGATTCTCCTTCTCGTCTCCCCGCAGCTACGTGCGGCATACGTACGCGCGTTTTATTCGCGTTACCAGTTGCTTCTTTTGTTTGGGAGAATCGAAGATTCGTATTTGCCGTGATTGCCAGGTCCTTCCAGAAGGTTCGCCTTTGTTTTCACTTTCGCCTACGGTGTCGTGCGCGACTCGTAAGGAATTCGAGCCAAACACGAGCGTCACAAAGCAACGGCTTAGTTCGTAGATGGTATCTAATGTAAACATCACGGGTCTGGCTCTTGCTTAATTTTCGTCCGAGTTCCTTTGTCTCAGTTCGGTGTTATTCTTCGCCGCGTTCGGACGTAGTGGCTCGGCGTAGTGACTCTGTTGTTGATGGCACGCGGCATCCAACGTGTTCCGACTGGCCATCGAACGTGTTCCGACTCGCCATCGCATGGTAAGATGTTGAGGAATTTATTACGATTTAAATTGGACATTACCGTTAAACAATTTGTCGAAATTACACGCTCTTTTTGATACCGAGGAGGGTACCACATGCGATTTCCAATAGTTAAAAACGGACGATATTCTCCGAGCTTTTTCACAGCGTTTCCTCCACTCGGAATTCTCCAGGCGAGGTTTGATAAGAAATTGTTCATGATCCAAAGCATCGGGGATTTAATTGTCGTAATTTAATTGTATCGGGGAGGAATGTGACTTGCTGTGGTGTTTCGTATTAGCGACATTCTTTTTATAAACGGATTCCATTTCTGTACCACTTTGTCCCCCGTGTCTTCTCATCGTGTTCCGTTCAATCGGAACGTGTCTGACGAGGGATTTATTAAAACGAAATTAGACACTGTCCGTATAGATCAAACTGTGATTTCCATGTGACGTTGCACATCGATAAAAACGCGCACGGCCGAGAGAGAGAAAGAGAGAGAGAAGGAATCTCGGTGGATGAAAGAATCGAGGGGTGGTTGGTCGAAATGAAATTTTGCTTCCCCTTTACCAAACTCTGCGATCGTACAATTAGTTGGTAACACGCGAATAGACCTTGATTTTGGCGTCACTTGTCTAAAAGGTGTCAACGTCTTCGAAATATTCCAGTGTCCAAGAGGAATCTCGGTGGATGAAAGAATCGAGGGGTGGTTGGTCGAAATGAAATTTTGCTTCCCCTTTACCAAACTCTGCGATCGTACAATTAGTTGGTAACACGCGAATAGACCTTGATTTTGGCGTCACTTGTCTAAAAGGTGTCAACGTCTTCGAAATATTCCAGTGTCCAAGAGGAATCTCGGTGGATGAAAGAATCGAGGGGTGGTTGGTCGAAATGAAATTTTGCTTCCCCTTTACCAAACTCTGTGATCGTACAATTAGTTGGTAACACGCGAATAGACCCTGATCTCGGCGTCACTTGTCTAAAAGGTGTCAACGTCTTCGAAATATTGCAGTGTCCAAGAGGAATCTCTGTAGATGAAAGAACGAAGGGGTGGTTTAATCGTCGTGCATCGCGATCACGAGGCAACCCGTAAACGCTCTGCCCCCTGTTTCCCCCGTATTCTCTACCCAAGGTTCGAGGTGTGCCGATTACGTAGCATAATAAGCACGAGACACGTAGGCACGGGCCGCGCGCGTTAAGAGGGTACGAGGAAGGACCAGCTCGATAATCCAGGGGTGGCTGCGCGCCGGAATAACCCTTATTACTGTCTGGCATCTCGTTATCGCCCATCGACGTTACCGCGAGCGCAAAATGCGACGCGCGTACACGTTTGATGCGAACGGCTACACTTGTCGACTCGTTCGCTCGTGAACGACGACTTCGCTTGTGCGCGCTGAGAGTTCGCGCGCTGACAGTGGCACCAATGACGATAGGCTTTCGTGAAAAATTGTAAACGCTCCGCGCTTTCCCTGTCTCCCGCGGAATTAGATGGCTTTCAATGCATCGAGTGTCCGGGGGGAAAAGAAGAGGAAAGCGTTTCGCGGATTTCCCGCCGATTATTGCCACCCCTTGTTCTCTATTTCCGCCTTAGAGCGGGGGGATAAATGGACGGAAGAATTACGTTCGCGGTGCAATCGTCGAGTTCGCGTAGATCAGATAGAGAGATCGTCTTCGGGATGCCGAGACATATGGAGACTTTGTAGGTTTTAGATAGGTGGAATTCGAGGAGGAAGGGTGGATTTTTCGCTCAGGGGGTTGGAATTCTTGGAGAAGCGTGCCTTAAGGCACAGACGAACCGAGGGAGATTGAACACACGGATTAACCGAATAAGAATGCGATGAAACCACATGAAGAGATCCTATTACCGATAAGGAGTCGGTAAGGCTTCCGTTGAGGATACGGCCAATCGTGGGTCAACCTCGGTGAGAACGTTCGAGCCCTACTACCCTCGCGACATCCACAGCTTGTACGATTTCTAATCCAATTTGATACGAAGGAAACACGATTAAGTTTGAGATATTTGCGTACACAGAAACAGATTGCCGTACAGAGCGTCCTTCTTCGGGATCGACCACGTTACTCATTACCCTTACTCCTACTCTCGCTCGTTCGCTATAGCGTTACTCGCGTGGCAAGAATCGGATTAATACGTCGAAACGATCTTTTGATTCTGGTTATACCCTATATTTCTTGGGGGTATACAATACACGGAGGCTCGGAGCCTTCTGTGATTCATGGTGCAGACGGTAGACTGTCAAAAAGCGTATCGTCGAACCCTTCAGCTAGGTTTTTATTTTTACATTGCGTCACTCGAGTCTGCTTCGAGAATTGATACGCTGGATGGTTCCTCGAAGCGAAGATAGATCTCGATGCAGGCTGACGCCATTGAAATAAAGATTTCGCTCACACTCGTCTACGTAGGTCTGTAACTTTTCGACTACGACTTGACTTTGTTCCATTGGATACGATATTCACGCATCGTCTTTGTCTCTCGTGTAAAACTTCTTCCAGTTGTCCTCTTAAAAGCGGGCCTCCTTTGTTAATCCGCCGCAAAGATCAAACGAAGCACCGCTTCGTTTTGAGACTCCAGTTATCATTCCTTCGTGATCGTCACTCACGCCGCCTTATTGGTAACCTGGCTCGCATAGTTTTACATAAGTTAAACATTTCCCATGTCACAGAATAATTTACACGCGCAAAGTAAGCAGCTAAGATCGACAATCCCTCTAGAGTAGGGTACACAATCTTTGGGACATGTCACATTCCTAATTACACGGTAGCCTCGCAATTAGTCTCTATCCTATCTTTATTTTTGAAGACAAACCTGTCAGCCTGCAAACTAGCAGTGTGACCATAATGACAACAAAGGTGTGCAAAGTGTTAGATACACGAACTCGAGTCCAAGTACAGTTTTGCTATATTTTTACTCGTTTACGTCCAGTTAGAATGTCACTTTTGGGTGTCAGGATATGTACCATCACTGCTTTCACGTTTACCTTGGTTCGTTATAATCGGTATCCACTTGTTTGTATCACAGAGTGTTCTTCAGGACTCGTGATTCAACCCCTCGTACACGCAATGCTCATCCTCGTGCCTACATATTTGTAACATCGATACGTCAGATCGACGTGTTACCGATTATCAGTTGACTTAGGTATTACGTATATATTTCTTGACATGGACTGTTGGGTCTTTAGAATCGGTGAGGTCCAAGTGTTTTAAGGATAGGCAATGTAATCTGCCTATTATACTTGTAAACTTTATAATTGCTCTTATAATGACGACTGTTACACGATGACCGAGAACACGTTAGACAATCGGTGACTCGTTCTTGACACGAACACACTCAAACACACATCCACACGCATACGTTATATTTGAACATACTTCCGTAAGATGTCGCGATTAGTATGCTGAATCGGCGACGATGCTACATAGACTATACTGTGTTACTTGTTCGAGTAGACTTTGTTATTCCAACGTGATTGACAACGCCTTGGTGTTTATATGGGTACTAAAATGGGGTGGAAATCGTGCACGTGTGAGGAACGAATGTTCCTAGTTGTGTATCGTGATAAGCATAAACAGTATTTCCTTAACCACGGTGAACTCGTCAATGCTGACACCGATACATCTGAGGAAGGCGAAGCTGATGTTCTTCTGGGTCAGGTACCCGTCCTCGTCCATCCTCAAGATGTACTTCCCCGACATCAGGTTCAACAAGAACAACACAGCGCAGCTGGTCAAGTGGTTCTCCAACTTCCGGTGAGTACGGCGATATTGTATTGAGAATTTACGGTTAACCACGGAAGTCGAAGGATTGTTTCAAAGTTTCAGCTACGGCTAAGATTCCGCGACATATGGCGATAAGATACGATATCCGTGTCTTCTTTGTGTGCTTTGTCGTAGAAATTTGTTCGATATCGCGTTAATTAATTTCGCTTAACAAACGTGCAGATGACAGAGTATACAGTTATATTGCATTTAAAATAAGAAAAAGGAAAATGAATCGAATTTTTCATGAAAATAGCATCGCGTTTTTCATAAATTTTTTAATTTACGGTATCATTAAGTTTGGAATATCGATTCGATAATTTTCCACCAATACGTGCTTCGACGAATTACTGGAAAATTACTGGAAAAATCCAACGATCACGACTGGAACAACGGGAACAATCCTTGGACCATCCGGTCGCATGTTCGCTATTTATTAAAAAATATCCCGAATTTGCATAACATACCGAATCGTCGACTAGAACATACCGGTAAAGGGTGGAAATCGTGGATATGAGGTATGGTCGTCTTGAGAGCCGTAAATCACGGGAATCTTTGATAAGAATGGCATCACTTTTGTCATAAATTTTTTAATTTTCGGTCGCATTAGCTTTCCGAATTAGCTTAGGAATATCGATTCGATAATTTTCCGTGAATACGTGCTTCGACCAATTACTGGAAAATTACTGGAAAAATCGAACGATCACGACTGGAACAACGGGAACAATCCTTGGACCATCCGGTCGCATGTTCGCTATTTACCAAAAAATATCCCGAATTTGCATAACATACCGGATCGTCGACTAGGACATCCTTGTAAAGGGTGGAAATCGTGGATATGAGGTATGGTCGTCTTGAAAGCAGGCGGTAAATCACGGGATCGACAGGGAAAACGGTTTCCGATCTGCGTCGTGTCGCCACTCCCCGATCTAGGGTTTCCGTGTCGCGGCGATGGGGCAAAAGAAACGCGATGGCGGAGGATGTTTCTGGTACGCGGTCCCGTTCCGTGTATGCAAACGAGAACGAGCTTTTCAAGGGATCGACCACTCCCTGCGTAGAAGCGGTCAGAGCCCAAGAGACGAGAGTCACGATGGGTGTGTCCGAATCTTAATTACCCTCTCCTGGGCCGGGAATAAGTAACAGTGGCTACATTGCGGCCAGGTACGACGAGCGTAGGAGGAAGGCATAGGTACCGACACGTACCGGCCACACAGGCATTAGCCTGATTATAATTAGGCTGAGTACAGTACAGATCCGAGATATAAGGCGGCGGAGAAACGCGTGCCCGTGTCCCTACATTATTGCCGCCTTCTTATCGCTACAGGCGGCCATCCTCTTGGACGACCATAAGTTCCCGTCGACCTTCCGACATTCCACGCGTCCACGACTCTATTCCCGCGCCGAGGGTTGCTCGTTTCGTGGCTCATTCGGTAGCGCCGGGGATTTAGATGCTTAATGGCCGCTTATTCGCTCGATATTCGCGATCTTTCTTTCATTCGGGACCAGCCTGTTCGGAAAATTCCTGTTGGGATGAATGCAGATCTACCGAGGAATAGTTGGCTGATAGTTGCAGTTTGTAAATAGTTCGTAAATAGTCCGCTTGGAGTGAATGGTGATGTATCTTGGGATTCGGAACGCGAGAAATCTGATCCGAGGAAACGTATCGGGTGAAACGTATATGCAGGTGATTCTACGCGAAAAACCGAGACGAAAATGCGCAATGATTTTTTCTCGTAGCAGGCTTCGTTTACGAGATAATCGAGTTGAAATAGTCGCGTGGCGCGCGTGCACCTAACTACGACGCCGCCTAGCGGAGCTCGCTGTAAAGTACTATCTCACTCGCATTTATCTCTATGAATATTTCCAACGTAATAAATTATTTTGTATCAGGCCTGTCACTTTAGTCTTCTCGTCGAGAACAGTCAGTACGAATCAATCTGCCCGCGCGGTTATGCATATATATCGAACGCAAACCGTCAAATATTTGAACACAATTTTCTCAGAAACGAAGCCTCGTATGGAAAAATTTTATTCTACGTTTTCGACTTATTTTTTCGCGTAGAATTAGCCTCTGCATCGCGGTACCTCTAGTTGCACGACACCGCGTGTGTATATGAAATGAAAACAATCGATCATAGGGACACTTGGGCACGCGTATAATTCGATTCGTAAATAGCGTGGATAATGCAAAATGTAATAATACTGGGTAGCCATTTTCGATCAGTGTCCAAAGATTTTTTAAGAAATATCTGATGAATATTTTGTCGCTGTGAAAAAAGATTTTTCATCGTGTCACGGAATTTTAACCCTTTGCACTCGAGAGGTGAGCTTCAGTCGCCGTTTCATAAAATTTGGAAAATCGATATTAATTAATATATCAAATTTGATGCAATGTAACAAATAATTCTACAATTCTTTATTTACTGCGCAAAAAAGTATCGTCAGTTTTTTAGTAGAGAATCTTTGAATTTCTACTTTTCTCTGGCCAAAAGTCGACGAGTACAAAGGGTTAATAATTTAGCGCACCTCGAGGTATAAGATATTAAAAATCGCGGATATATTACGGAATAATAATATTTATTTTAACGGTAGAGGGATATCCGTAGTTTATCTGCCTCGAAATACATTTTTTGAATGATTTGCAATAATTCGATGAAATTTTCCGTAAGCTGCTCGAAAGATGAACGTCAGTGCCGCCGAGTGGGAATTTGTAAACACGCGAAAAGCAGGTAGAGTGTTACGTATTGTTGCTCGATTACACAGGTAATCGCGGGTCGTCGAATTCCGACGAAATTAGCAATGAAAATTCCCGCACGGGCTAGACGCTTTAAATATACGTTGCGTTGAATTTCATCATCGACATCCGATGTGTCCATCATCGCGCATCGTTTCGTCGATCTCGTACGAAATATTCGAGGCACTCGAGCGAACCGGGGGAGACCGGCCGCGAAATTTAATTAACGCAGGAAAAGGTCCATTAAAAAAGCCGGTCCCATGGAAATGAGGAAAGGGTACACTTAAAATTCCGCCGGGGAAAATGAGCCGAAAAAAAAAAAATAAATAAAAAATAAAATAAAAAGCGGCGGGGGGGGGGGGGGGTGGAAAAAGAAAAAGTTGCCGGAAAATTTTATTCCGCGAAAATAACGTGCACGGCTCGAACATCCCCACTATTCGCGTGTCACCAACTATACTTCCGGTTTCCGATCTCTCACCAATCGAAATTCAAAATTCGAATCTTGCCTCGATAATCAAAATTGCTCTCTCGTTGTATTACTTTCGCGGTCACTTGCAGATCACGCGACGCAAAAATTATTATAAATATCCGTTTTTATTTATTTCACATAGATCGCGATGAAAATAATTTTTTCATCGATCCTCTGCAGAATTTCGTAAAATTATTTCGTTTTCGCGTAACGTGGAATTTACAATATCGTTCGATCTCGATACATTTCTAATAAAGGAAAAAGAAAAATTATATAAAATTGCAAATTCGAAGCAGATATATTTCTCATGGAAAATGAACGAAACAACGATCTAGCCGAATATTAAAATGGAGTCGCAGTGCCGTACATACGCGTTTGAAAAATCGCGGTCACGCGACTTATTTACTTGTCGATCGAGGGAAAAGAAGGAGAAAAAATGGCAAAGGGCACGTCGAATCGGTTGCATCGAGGAACTTGTCTCTCTTTTACCCCGCACCCCATGGTCTCATCCCCCTCTCCGCGTGGCCCTGTTTCGCTTTCCCTAAACATTTCCACGAGGACTCGCAGCGGGGAAGAGAATCGGTTAGAGTGGTTGATAAGAGAGAACCAGCACGGGGTGTGTTCGCGAAAGTTTCAAACGTCCAGTAGAGGAAAAAAAGGGGGAAAAAAAGGAAAAAAGAGAAAAAAAGAAGAAGAAGGAGAAATTGCATCGGAGGCCGGCTTCCGCTTTTAAGCACAAAGCTAATTACCGACTCGAATATATTTCGGTACATTTTGTCGTGTCGGGGCCGGAGGGGTCTTCGTTCTCTCTTTCTCAACCTAACAACCCCCTCGCCCCCATTCTTCTCTTTTCCTTCGGCGTGTCTCTCGTGTAGCTGCTGCTCCCGATGACGAACCAGACGGAACGAGAGAACACGACGAGGGTTCCGCGAAATCTTTTTCCCAACCACGATCGACGAAAGCTACGCCCCTGTCCCGCCTTTCCTCTCCTTTCTCCAATTCCTCCAAGTGTCTCTCGATTTTCGATCGATCCGTTCAATCGTGTTTACGTTTACCGAGAGTCCGCTGGGTTACTGGAGTTGAGAAAGAGTTATCGAAAAACTAGGCTCTAAGAATCGAAGTGATTGCGGGGGTAATCGAGGGATAAAATGAAGGGATAAAATCGATTTTTATTATTTACGGATATTCGATATCGTAGCGCGAGTTTCTTCGCAACATATGGAATATAGGGAACCGAAGAATCCTTGGTTAAACATCTTTCATTCTTCTCGATACTTGTTTAACACGTTGACTGCCACGCAAATTTAGCGCGTCTTGCCACGGTTTTATTTCAAAGAAAACATGAAGTTTCACAAAATCGTCTAAGTTATAATTATTAATAGTTTTAATAATAAAAATTGATCATTAATATGTTCTCTACGCTATATACAATTTTCATTCATCCTTTCTAATAATTCCTAACTCAAATGGCCATTTGTAGCCTATTAAACTTGCAGCACACACGAGATATCTCTCGTAGCTGACAGTTTTGGTGCAAAATTCTTACTACGAGATATTTCGTTGTTGGCAGTGAATGGGTTAACACCCTGTATATTTGTCAAGCTTCGTTGGTCACGGGACTGTAGATTCTTTTAATTACATGCTTGACAGTAACGAAAATTTGTATGCGATATTCGGCTAAGTTATTTCTTTCATGTTGAAAGCACTCGTAATTTATTGCAAATAGCTAGGAATACGAAATATCAGAAATTATCTCAGAAATGATCAATGAATCCTATTTTAGAAAAT